AGGAGCTCCTGAGAGTGTGTTGCAATATACCAGTGAGTGTTCATTGCACATTAAATTTTGGCTGTAGTTTAACTTTAGTAAGGCATATCCACATACTGTGAGGCAATGATAATCAGTTTGTTAAAGCTTTTCAGTGTTGGACTACAGTGGGAAGTAACTAACAGATATACTGACAGTAAGTTGTAGATACCTTCAACAATGTTTTTTTTTATGGAATTAATAGAAAGAACAGATTTTGAGGAAGCTGATGGTAAATTCTTCTCAAAATCCAATTCCAGCAAGAAAATGTCTGACTGCATTATTCTACCCGTTAGGTTTACCAAATACTGTACTACAATCTGTAGAAGATGCCATTGTGTGGTATTAGTTGGGAAAATTCACAAAATGAATAGTTATATTAAAATATTGTTTTCTTCCCTGACCCCCTCTCTTGCACGCACAGGACCTGATGTCATCAGGAATATCAAAGTGACTGTAATAACACCAACATCTGTCTCGTTGTCCTGGGCTCCTCCTGTGGGAAATGCTGCCTTTTACAGAGTACTATGGAATGACAGCAGTACTCTGCAGAATACTACTTCTCTTAACACATCCATAACCATTAGTAATCTGACCGCTGGAACTCAGTATACATTCAGTGTCACTGCGATTGCAGGAGATAATCAAGCTGCAGGAGCTCCTAAGAGTGTGTCCATATATACAAGTGAGTGATCAATAAAAGCAAATTTTTGTCTATTACTTTGGATTTTTTTCTAGTGGTAGTATAGTTTTTGTAAGGCTTATACATCTGTTGTGTGGTCACAACAGTCGGTTTGTTAAATCTTTCTTGTGTTGGAGTACAATGGAGAGTACCTTGCAAATAGACTGTATTTCAGACGATGTTTCTGACATGTTAAGAATTTAAAGATTATTAAAGAAAACTTGTACTTACCATAATGTATGTTTTTGCAGCATTAATAGAAAGTACAATTTTTCTAAAGACGTTGGTGATTGAAGGTTTTCAAAATTT